GGGATGAATTCCGGTAGTTTTAGGACAAATTTAAGCATTAATTTAAGTGGGATTTATGTGATTGAGTGTTAATTGACTGCTGTGTGATTTTTGGAAAAAATCCCGTGAGATTAGCTAGTGTTTTGGCCAATTTTGGAAGTTGGAGTTACTGTTCACGTCGATGTCACTGTTCACGGCACTGTTCATATATTACTGTTGACACACCGAGGGTCAACAATTAACAGGGATTTAAATGATTAGTTTGTGATATAAGAACGAATTTGGAGATATCTAATAATGTGGAGATTTATAGAAATAGCATCGTGATTAAGGGTAGTTTTAATGATGATTTCAGTGTAATTTGTGATAGTACGGTATTAATTCTCGGATATTTGATTAGGTTCTTGATCCTTGGGGTACTTTAGTACGTGAATTGAGTGCTCGGTTTTATGCGATTTGATGTAAGTAAATTTATGGTAATGCCGTATAGTTTTTAAAAGCATGTTTTGATTTGTTTTTGAAGTGGTGGCAGGATTAAACCCGTTTTATACAAGTATGATCAATTGAAATGAAATTTTATGTTTTTCAATAAATTGAGCATGCCTACTTGAAAGTTTAATTGATTGTCCTGATGATTTGAAAGTGATTGGTGAATTATGATTTTTCTGTTAACCTCTGCCTGTTTTGTCTCCGATATGGTTATGTTATTGATAACCCTGCTAGTGGGGGTTAAACGCTAGCACATGTCGACATGTATTTTTGTAGAGCCGGTTCCTCCTGCCAGTGGGAGTTGTTAAACACTGGTATTTCTGTAATCCTACTAATGGGATTTTACACTAGTAAATTCTGTAGCTTGCCAGTGGGAGGTTTATAACACTGGCCATGACCTATAGAGGAGACATTTATTTTGTTCCTGTACTGTAACCGTTTTTCGTGATTACACTTGTTGGCATGCTATAAGTTTAATAAGGGGCACTCCATATTTTACTTACTGAGTTTATCTCATAGTTTTTCCTTGTCCACCATTTCAGGAAGCGAAACCGAGAACGGGGAAACCCAAGGGAAGTGACGGGTTAGAAGGCTAGCCATTTCGAGATTGATATAGATTTTAGATATAGATCATGATCTTGTAAACTATATTTTAATTGGAGATTTTATGATATGAGAGAAAATCTTATAATTTTATCTTCAGATTTTGGTGGTATCAAATTGTGAATTTGATAAGTTCCGAGCCTTGTGAATTTGTGGGACCCTCTCACGAGTGCACGGCGTCTGCCACGTCTCCGGATTTGGGTTCTGGGGCGTGACAAATTTTAGTGGTATCAGAGTTTAGGTTTAAATTCAGAGCTTAGATTTAAATTAAGCACCTCCAGATTGAGTGGCATTAGAGCAGATTGAGTGATATCCGAGCCTAGGTTTAATTGAATACCTAGGATTTGTTTAGAACTTGGCTGGCCAATGGATTTTAAAACTGTGGTGAGATGAGTAATGGGTTTATATAAGGGACAATTCTGATTAATGTTGCCTGAATTTTCTAATCCATTTTGATGAGATGGTAATCTGATTGTTCTTGTTTCCTGCCTTCATACTCTGTGTGAAGTTGTGAAAGTAATCTTGCCCGTTATGTCCTTAAGACCTTGTTTTGAAACTTGGTCATTTTCTGATAGTCTGCACTTGTTTAGACTTGTTACGTGAATAGAATTTTTGTATGCTCTTTTGCCACAATTGTAGAATTTGGGGAGTTGCAGAGATATTTTGTTATTGATCCTATTGGTCTCTACAGCATAGCTAGTTGAGCAATTTGTTCTGTTTGTCACATGACAAGTGGAAGATGGGCAACCCTCTACTTTGTAAGAGGTTCAAGGCTATTTTAGCAAATGTTGTGTGTTTTCTAGATGTGTTTTAGGAGCTGGATAACTTGGTAATTTCGCTGCTCATTATCTTTCTTAAAGTCTAATAGTGAAGTTTCACTTTTTCCATTTAGAGCTTCATGGTCTTTTCATGTGGCTCATTTTTCTATATTGGTTAATCAAAAACAGTGATCAATTCAATTGAAATTGCCATGTTTTTGTGAAGATTGGCAAGTTGTCATAAAGCTAAACTTTGTATTGTTGCCAATCTCTACATTCTTGATACTTGAAATTGCTTGAAACTCCTAAAATCCATCTTGAATCTTTCTTGACATTACTTTGTACTCGTTCTTGAAACTGAAATCCAAAGGAAATGGATAATGATTATTGAAATCCTCATTATCTTGATACTTGTTTGAAATTAATTCTTGCATTGTTCTTGGAATCTGTTTTGAATTGTCTTTGAAAACCATCATTGTCTTGACTCTTGCTCTTGTTCAAATCCTGTATATTGTTCTTGCTCAAATCTTGCATATTCTGCAAGTTCTTGTGTCAGTGTACTTGTTGATCTTCTTGATTTTTGATTTTATTCATATGGACACCTTTTTAGGAGGGGTGATGATTATTAGAAAATACCTATATAAGGTATCCTAATTCCTGTCTCTTGCAAGTGTTAATCTTTGTATTCTTGATGCCTTAGCTTTGACTTGACCCTAGGATGTGTAGGATGACTTGATTGTAAATTTGCTTAGCCTTTATGAGCTACGAGGTGAAGGGGTAGTCTTTGAAGTACCTGATGCCCTAGAGTTTTGTTTCGAGAGAAATGGTTCTTTTATCTGGCTGCTTTGATTTTGTTTGCCCTTTTATTTAGAAGACAGTAATCTTCTAAACATCTTGATCCCAGCCATTGTTTTGTTCTGTTAATTAATTCTAGTACTTGAGGTGCTACATCTTGACATCTTGGTTATATCTGCTCTTAAATCCTTGTTCTCATTGTCATTATTGAAATCTCTTTTGTGGGCCTAATTTTTGGAATTCTATTGCTTGTTTCATGGTTAACTCTTGTCTCTCAATTTTGACTGCTTGGTTAAATTTGATCTTGATTCTTGGTGAATGTCGATTTGTTGTTGAAAATTTTTGAGGCATTCTACGTTGCACTCTTATGTTCCAATATTCTTCCAAGCATTCATATTTTCCATTGATTTTATTCTGTTGCAATTCTTGAGATTCTTATATGTCATTTGATGGGTCTAGCTTTTAACTCTTGTTAATTGCTAAAATCTGTTTCTTGATTCTAGTTGCTTGTTAAACATGACCTTACTAATTGGTTAACCTTGTTGTGGCAGAATTTATAAGGCATCCATGCACTTGTTCATTCATTCATGATCCATATATCCATTGGATGCTTATCCGTCTTTGATAGAGTTCAAAGTTTTGTTGTGCTCGTCATTAAATCTGTGCCATCCTTTGTCAACTCGTCTTGTGATGGGTTCGTAGCGTAACCCCACAATTGTTCTTTTGTGGCTTTGGCAGGATTTATTTTTATTCTTTGTGCTTTCTGTATTACCTCAGCCTCTAGTAGCTTGTTTCATGGTAAATCCTGGTAAGTAGTTAGTGTTGTGCTTTTAGGATTAGTTGTGGTTTGATATCAGAGTGGCGCAGCGGAAGCGTAGTAAGCCATGTTCTGTTTATAAGAGTTGGTGAAGCATTTGTTTTGTCTTGGATTGTGTGAAACCATTCACTGCTTGAAATAGTCCTCAATTTGAGTTTTGGGGACAAAACTCCTTTTTAGGAGGGGTGAATGTAATATCCCAAATTTTTGGGAATTTTATCATTTAAGTTAGGGACTTGATTGTGGGAAAATATTATTTGGGGCTTGATGGCCAACATTTTGAAAGATGAGGGACTTAGAAAGGGAAAAGATTTTGGATAAGGATCGGTTGGTTTTTTTCTTCTTTCTTCTTCCTCACCCGATTCTGCTCTTCTTCTTTCTTCCCGTTGCAGCCCAAAAACAAACCCAGCCA